CTGTGATTTTGAGTTTGAGCCATGGAATGAGTTACCAACGTTGGAGGTGGAACAAACAGTCACAAAGGGTTAGATGGGATAGTAAAAGTAGTTACAAAACAGAGAGGAAATTTTTTAGTATTGTACAGGGGGGTTTTAACACCTGTACAGGGGGGTTTTACTTTGTACATGGGGGTCAGAAGTTCTAAGATGGAGGAAAGGGGGCTGATCCTGTCCTTTCTCCTTCTTCTTCCTTGCCTCCATGTTCTTGGGGATGTTGGCACTTATGGATTGGTTTAGAGTAGAAAATCACTTTGTAATATAGGTAGTAGGTATTGGGGAAAAACTGTAAACATGTAATACGTAATATATCATATAAAAAATAGCAGCAGCCCTGGGCGGAGGGAGAGAAGAAGAAGACAGCAGACAGAGAGGATGTCAGGGCGTGTGTGTGCCTCTGCCTGAGCTGCTGATCAAACAGCCACAGCCTAAGAAAATCTTTTAGACAACAAACAATAAACTGCCTTGAGACCGAACATCAAAAGGCTGCGGAGTTTTTCTTTGGAAGCACGGCTTGGACGAGAAACTTCACCACCACACGAGACCCCAGACCAAGCCTGGGGTTCTCACAGGTTGCAGGCAGGCTGTGCATACCTGCCCCAGGTGTTGAGCTGCTCCGTACCAAACCCAGCCCATCCCAGTACAGGTATAGGAAGGGCTACGAGGCCTCTGACCCCATCAAGATGTGAGACCTACCTTGGGCATGACCTTGTACATCATGTAGACGAGGACGAGCAGCGAGGCCAGCAAGCCAACACTGATCCCAGCTGAGTAGTAGAAGATTTGGCTCCTGCAGTGATCACACAGGGAATCAATCACAGCAGGTGTTTTATGGGTGCCTGTGCACAAACACCCCCACCCAGGAGCCCCCGGGGAAAGGAGGGGGCTCACCTGCTCATTGTGTCCCCACAGAAAAACAACAGCAGGCCCAGGAAGAAAACAAGGAACAGCTTAGGGTCAAAACCTGGCAAAAAAAAAAATAAAACAAAACCAAAAATTAATCCCAGTGGAGAGGGGCACAGTGGGAAGCTCCCACCTGCCACAGGGTCACAAGGATGGGACCTCCAAGTGCCCCAAATTCCTTCTGCAGACCGAATTCCCTTCCTGAGGAAGGAACAGGTCCTTGGATCATGAGCTGCCCTGTCCTGCTGTCCCCTGGGCAGCCCCAGGCCCCCTTCCCGCAGCGGGGAGGGGACGTACGTCGGAAGAGGACGACGGAGTAGGTGGTGCCGGGCTCCAGCAGCTCGACCTTGAGGCAGGTTTTGTTGCTGTAGAGATCCACGTCGATGCTGGTGTCGTTGAGCTTGCCCCGCAGGAAGGAGAAGAGCACGTTCCACAGGCTGAACTTCTCCAGCTCCTCCTCGCTGTCCACCTGGGTGACGCGGATCATCCGGCTGCTGGTGACGCGGATCTGCGGGAAGAGAAGGGGAACAGGGCAGCTCAGCCTGGAGAAAAGGAGACTCAGGGGGGAGCCTGTTGCTGTCGAGGCAGGAGGGGAATGAGAAGACTCTGATTCAGAAGGCTGCTGAGAGTAAAACTCTGATTTATCCAAAATACACTGCTCTTTTATACAGAGCTTCATGAGGATCAAATCCATTGGTCCTGAAGTGAAAACAACCCACAGCATTGGTGCAGAGTGCTTGACACACAGTGATAGAACTTCACTATAAACAAAGTGGAAAACAGAGAGATAAAGAATTATTTACATTCTCTCCAGCTCTTTCCCAGGTGTCTGCCTGGCTAGAAACTCTCAGTTTCTTTCTTTGACTGAATCTGAGACCCACATGAGCTCACTGCTCTCTGCAGCTTCCTGAAAGGTGGCTGTGCTCAGGTGGGGTCGGGCTCTTTCTCCAGGAATGGACAGAACCAGAGGACACAGTCTCAAGCTGCACCAAGGCAGATATAGGTTGGGTATTAGGAAAAGGTTTTTGACTGAAAGACTTGTATGTGACATTCACATTCTCTGGACAGAGAGACACAACTCTGTCTCTGAAGCACAGAGAGAAGAAAACAACCTTTATACTAAATCCCACATAGAGAAAACAAAAGAACAGAGATAAAGATTGTTTTCTTTTCTCCTCCTGAGAGACAGAGGTCTGCCTCTCTCTGTCCAAAAAATGTGAATGTCACAGTCAAAGCTCTGGAATGTTCTGCCCGGGGTGGTGGTGGAGCCACCACCCCTGGGTGTGTTGAACACAAGCCTGGGTGTGGCACTGGCTGCCGGGCTCTGGTTGAGGTGTTGGGGCTGGGTGGGACTGGATGACCTCGAAGGTCTCTTCCAAGCCAGTGATTCTGTGAATTCTGTGAACGGAGGGGCTGCAGCAGGGACAATCTGCTGCCTCCTCCTGCTGCCCCCACCTGTGTCCTGGTCCAGACGTCGTTCCAGCGCGGGACGCGGGTGTTGGTGTAGCAGAAGCGCCGGGATTCCCCGTGCTGGGACGCGTGGCCCTCCTGCAGCGCCACGATCGCATCCTTGGGGCCTGGCGAGCACGGAGAGAAGGGCTCAGGCCTTGCTGCCCCTGCTTCACCCACCCAACCCCTTCTCTCCACTTTGCCATATTCCCCACGGTATTTCCGCTGTTTTCCTCGGAATTCGCCCTCGCTTCTTTTCTGGGATAACCCCGTGCCCTGTCGGGATCAGCGCATCCCCATCCCCGCGTCCCTTCTGGCCCGACTCCCAGCTCCAAAATCCCACCTCAGCGACACAAACCCGAGGGTGCCTCCGGCACGCACTCGCCCCCCGAGGTGAAGCGGCTCCCGAACGGCACCGAGGCCCGATGGTACCGGGAGATCGGCGCGGCGGGACACCGGGACACGAAAGCCCGGTCCCACCGGGCCGCACCGGCCCCGGGAAGCGCTCAGAGTGTTCCCTGGGGGCGGAAGGTGCCTCTCAGCGGACACCGGGCCGTTCCCCGTGGCCCACGCCGCCGGTCCCATGGTCCCGCCACGCCGCCCCGGGAGCCGCCGCTGCCCCGCTCCCCACTATGACTCCCCCCGGTCCCCGCCCATGGACGCCACTGTCCCGCGCACCTGCAGCTTCCAGGAGCAGGAAGGACAGAAACAACAACAGCAGCAGCACCACCGGCAGTCCCGACAGCCGCTGCCGCCCCGGCGCCGGTTTCATCCCTCCCGCCGCAGCTGCACCGGCCGCTTCCGCTTCCGCCCGGTCCCGCCGCCGAGGAGAGTCCACAGCCAATAGGAGAGGCGCTCGCCGGGCTTTGTCGTCGATTGACAGTTGGTTTAACCTATCAAAATTCAGCTTTGATCTCGCGCCCCTCCCCTCTGTTTCTGCCAGGTTGATTGACAGAGATTTTAACCTATCAGTAGTGAGCATGCAGGAAGCAGCCATGTTCCCGCCCTCGGTTACCACGGTGACCAACCTGCCCGCCATTCACTCAACAGCCACGCCCCACCCTGGTAACGGCTCTGACAGACTCGCCCCTCGACCAATCAGAGCGCAGGCATCACAAGCCACGCCCCCACCCCTCGGGTATCCCGTGTGATTGACAACCGCCTCCGCCTATCAGGGCGCGGCCTCGCGGTGTTGGCGCGAACGGGTCACGCGTGGGGGGCGCGCGGGTCCCGCCCCTCGCCCCCCGCCCCTCCCGCGGCCGCCGAACCCGCGGGCCCGGGGCCCGCCGCTCCCACCGGCCCGGGGCCCGCCGGCCCGCACGGGGCTCTGCCAGCGCGGCCGTGGCACGACGGTCACCGGTGACCCGCGGCGCGGAGGGGGTCCCGCATCCCACGGGTCAAGCGGCGGCTCGGCTCGGGGGCTCCGGTTCGCCCCGCTGCCGGCACCGTCCGTCGCTTCGCGGCGAGGCTCCCCCAGTCCCGGGAAGGGGGTGCCGCTCTCCGCGCGGGTTCCCCCCCGCCCCCCACCGTGGGGCGGTGGCCACCCGTGGGCGGGCAGCGGGGAGCGGGCTCGGGCGGCCCCCCCGCTCCCCCTCCGCGGGCCGTGGGCGGCGGAGCCGGGAAGCGGCGGGGCCGTGGGCGGAGGATGTGCGTCAGCCGGGGGCAGCGCCGGGGCTGGGAACGGCCCCGCCGCGCCGGACGCTTGGTCGTGGAAGGCGGGGGGAGTGACAGGGGGGCTGTGGGGAGGGGGTGAACCGGGAGGGCTTGGGCAGGACCCCCGCCATGGGGACCGTGCCCGTGCGGGATCCCCCGGCAGCACCGGGGATGTGCCCCGGGCACCGGCACGGCCCCCCGGCCAGGATCGCGCGGGGGCGGCTCTGGCCCCACGCCAGGCGCCGGCCGCGGTATAAATAGCGCCGAGGCACGCAGGGCCGGACCGGGGTGCGGGCCGTGACACCCCCCCTCCCGCGGGAGGGACCCCGGTGCTGCCGCCGAGGGGCTTCAGCATCCCCCCAGCCCACCCGAGACACCCCCGTGCGCTCCCGTTCTCGCCGCTCCGGGGCGCCGCTGGCGTGCTCCCCCGGAGCCCATCGATGGCAGCGTGTGCGTGCCGGTGACACCGAGTGCCAGCCCTCCGCAAGGGCTCCGGCACCGGGGGGCACTGCCGGGACAGCGGTGCCGCTACCCGGAGCATCCCCGCTCCCGGTCGGGTTGCCACCGAAACCGGGGATGCTGCGAGCGCTGCCCGCAGGACCCCCGGGATTCAGGGTGTCCGCGCCGACACCGAGCACCGCGTCCCCATAGCGGGCTTCTGCCTCTCCCACGGGCCCCCCGTGCCACGCGTGTCCTGCCCGGTCCCTGCCGGGGTTGCGGGACCCCCGATGCCGCCGTGCGGGGCGCCGCTCCCGCTCTCCTCCCGCTGCTCCGGTGCCGGGGGGGGGTGGGGAAGAAGGGGGGCCGGTGCTGCCGCCTCCGCCGCTGCCCCCCCCCCGCGCTCGGCGGGGGCGGCAGCCGCGGGATCCGCCCCCGGGGCCTCCCACGCGCGGCGCAGCCGGGGCCGCTGCTATTTCACGGTCCCGCCCGTGTGGGCGGCGCGCAGAGCGGCGCGGCGCGGCGGAGGGAGAGCGCCCGGCCCGGCCGCGGGACCCCCGAGCCCCGGCACCCCTCGGACCCCCGGCTAGAGCCGGCCCCGGAGCCCCCCCGCCCCTCGCCGGCCGCCCGGCGGGGCGGGCGGAGCGGACGGAGGCGGTTCCAGGCGGCGGTGAGCAAGCGGGGGACGGCGGGAGGGGACGGGGCACCGGGGGGCACCGGCCGGGGCGGGAGTCCCGGGGACCGTGGCCGTGGTGGGAGTGGAGGGACCGTAGGGGGACGGAGCGACGAGGGACACCGAGCAGGGCGGGGGGCCCACGGGGTGTTGGCTACGGGGCTCCGGGCGGGTCCGGCGCGCCGGGATGCACGGGGAGAGGATGGGACCGGGGGCACACCGCGGCACCGGAGGGTAGCGGGAGGGGTCGGCGGGCTCGTGGGGGAACGGCGGCCGTGGCAGCACTGAGGAACCGTGGGGACGGCGGGGGGATGGAACGGCGGGGGTCGCCGGGCAGAGCAGAGCCCAGGGAAGGGGTGACCCCGGTGGGTCCGGGAGGAATGGGGGAGGATGGGGCACAGGGTGGGCTCGGGGCTCGGCAGGGCACCAAGCAGCTGCGGGGACGCTGGGGGAGGATGGCCCTGGTGGGACCGGGGTGGGGATGGGGGCACCGAGCGGGGCGGGGTCACCAGGGAGGGATGGCCCTGATGGGATCCAGGGGACCACGGGGGAACAGGGCACGGGCAGGGCAGGGGCTGGGGGATGTTGGCCATAGGATCGGCATTGGCACATCCCCCCGAGGATGGGGGGGCTGGGGGAAGCCCCCAGATGTGTATCCTGCTCCATGTGAGGACCTGGCACGGAGGGGCTGCTGGCTGGGGTGGGGGCAGAGGCTGGGCACAGCCCAGGGTAAGGGGTAGGGGCTGGGATGAGTGACCCCACTCATGTCTGTGTCATACCCAGGACTGTGGCCGCAGGGACCGTCCCAGCCCGGAGCACATGGGTGGGACTGGGCACCCCGTGGGGTTTAGGGACACTGGAACACCCATCCATGGGAATGCTCCCTTTGCCCTGTACCCCCAGGCCCAAGGGTGGGGAGGGGCTTTCTCCTGCATGTCCGTCCATCCCGGTGGTGAGTCCGTCTGTCCTCTGTCCACCACAGGCTCGTCATGGCCCTGCCCCGCACGCTGGGGGAGCTGCAGCTGTACCGGGTGCTGCAACGCGCCAACCTGCTGGGCTACTACGAGACCTTCATCCAGCAAGGGGGGGACGACGTGCAGCAGCTCTGCGAGGCGGGCGAGGAGGAGTTCCTGGAGATCATGGCGCTGGTGGGCATGGCCACCAAGCCCCTCCACGTCCGCCGCCTCCAGAAGGCCCTGCGCGAGTGGGCCTCCAACCCGGGGCTCTTCAGCCAGCCCGTCTCGGCTGTCCCGGTCAGCAGCATCCCGCTCTTCAAGCTCTCCGAGGCCGGCGGGCGCAAGGCGCTCAGCAACGGGCACGCCAGCCCCGGCGAGGCCGCGGGCAAGGGGGGCGGCAGCGCCGGGACGCCCCCAGCCCGCAGCCCCACGGAGCCAGGGGAGAAGCTGTCACCGTCAGCGGCTCCACCGTGGCCGGGAAGGAGCACCCCAGAGTCGGAGGGTGGTGGGGACGAGGAGCCGGGCGGTCCCCCCTTCTCCCCGGGCGGGAGCAGCGGGGAGCAGGCGGTGGGCACGGAGCTGGAGCCGGAGTTGGCACGGACGGTGGTGGAGAGCGTGGAGCGGCTGCTGCAGAGCTGCCCCCGGGGCGGCGAGGCCGAGCTGCGGGCGCTAATGAAGCTCAACAAGAAGCTGGCCAAGGCTGTGGGGCACATCTTCCAGCTGGAGGATGGTGACCGGCAGAAGGAGGAGGAGATCCGCCGGCACAGCGCGATCTACGGCCGCGGCGAGGCCCGGCGCCGCGAGGGCAAGCAGCTCACCCTGCACGAGGTGGGCTCCGTGCTTGAAGTTCCTGAGATGTGCTGGGCTGGGACAGGGACCGGGGCGGCTCTGGGGGTGTGGTGAGTGGGTGGGATTCGAGGTCTCCTCCCACACCGGTTGCATCCACCAGCCTGGAGCCGGCGGTGCCTTAGCCGAGGGTTGCGTGGGCGCCGCTGTCCCGTGGGCGCTGCCGTCCCTGTCCCCGCTCACGCATCATCTCTGCCCCCAGCTCATCATCAATGAGGCGGCCGCCCAGTTCTGCCTGCGGGACAACTCGCTGCTGCTGCGGCGCGTCGAGCTCTTCTCGCTGTCACGACAGGTGGCACGGGAGAGCACCTACCTGTCCTCGCTCAAGGTCGCCAGGTGAGCCCACACCTGGGAAAACCCCCCCTTGCAGGCCTGGTGGGGCCTGGCTGTCACCCCCTTGCCCCCTGGGACCTGCACCATGATCCAGCACTTCTGGATGGGGCCAGGACCCTACAGCCCCCAGTTCCCTTTTGCCAATGTGGGTGGTTTCTGCCTGACCTCGGAGCGTGGGATGCGGGGAGGATGGGAATGATGGGGATGCCAGGCGTGGGAAGGGATGCCAGGCAGCAAAGGGATGCCGCTGGGGATGCCCTATCTCTTGCCTCCATCCCCAAAGTCCCCTGCCCGCTCTGCCAGGGTTGCTTTTTCCCTTTGCTCTCCAGCTGCCTCCCTCTTTTTCCGCCCCCAATTCCACCCGTGCCAGATCCCCAGCTTCTGGCATTGCCCTGCTTGGCGGTTCCGCTCACAGCGCGGTGCCTTGCTGCGGCCACCCCCACCCCTGACACAGCCCCTTTCCACCCCCAGGGCCCATCCCGAGGACAGCGGCGCCGTCGTGGCCAAGCGGCTCAAGCAGGAGGTGGGTGCAGGTGCAGGGGGAGCGTGTGCAGGTGTGCACACCTGTGAGCGTGGGTGTGACGGCGCAACGTGCCCGGGGCTGCCCATGCCAGCTTGGGGTGACGGCTGTGGGTGTTCTGGGGTGGGTGCTGCGGGGGACCTGCTCACCTGTGTGCTCCTGGCAGGCGGGAGAGCAGAGCCGTCCCGAGCTCCTGGCACTGCCGGTGGGGCTGGAGCCCCCCGGGGCCGGGTACCGAGCCAGCGTGGAGGAGGACACGGGCAGCCTCTCCGGGGAGAGCCTCGACGGCCACTTGCAGGGTGAGTGGGGGTCCTTCCCTTTCCTGGGGGGCTGGTGGTGGTCGTGCCCCGGCTCCTGGCGCTGAGTGTCGCCCCTCTCTCGGCAGCGGCGGGGGCCTGTCCCCGGCTGACCCCTCCGCCCGGTGCGGCCCCGGACGTGCCCCTCGGCCTCGCGCCCCACGGGCTCTGGAGCCGCCACATCCTCCAGCAGACGCTGATGGACGAGGGGCTGCGCCTGGCCCGCCTGGTCTCCCACGATCGCGTGGGGCGGCTCAGCCCCTGCCTGCCGGGGAAGCCCCCGGGACCAGGTGAGCCCCCGCGGGGCCGGCGGGGCAGGACGGCACCGCTGCCTTCTCCTGTAGAATCGCCATCCTGACGCCATCTCCGTCTTCTCCCCACAGAATTCGAGGACGGGCTGGCAGAACGGGGTCCGCCGGCCCCCCCAGACCCACCTCGGGGCACCATCAAGGTGGAGCAGGAGACCAGCAGGCAGTGAGGCCCCTGTAGCCCCCCCGCCACCATTAACGAAGCAATAACGTGCTGGGGGGACGGGTGCGGCGGCGCTCCGGGCCGGGGGAGCTTGGTGGGCGGGGGGGGGTCTCATCCACAGCCCCCCCGGCCCCCTCCCGTCCCACACCGACGCTCTGGTTACCTCAGCCGCGGCGGGATGCGACTCCCAGCAGCAGCAATACCTTCATCCCGCCCGGCTCCGCTCCCTCGCCGTCCCCCAGGGCTGGGGAGCCCTCGATGGACTGGAGCTCCCTGTACAGCCCCGTGCTGACCGTCCCCCCCACCCCGGGCCCGTTCCCGCGTGGGGACAGACGCGTCGCACTGTGCGCTCCCACGTCAGCGCTGCCGCCCACGCCGGGCACACGGTCCCGTCCGCCACCCCCCCCACCCGCAGCGCCCACGCACCAGCCGCCAGCCCCCTCCCCGCAGCACGTGCCAGCTCACTGTGCGCCCCCCTGCCCACCCTGCGACCCCCGCCCCAGCACCGCATCGGCTGTAAATACCCCCCCACCCACCCTCCTCCCGCAGCCCCCGCACGCGTCCCCCCCGCACCCCGATACCTGCGTGTGCTTCAAGCATGGTCCCTGTGCCGGGGGGTGCCACACGTGCCGTGGGGTGTCACCCCCTCCCAGCACGACGCAGGCGGCGTTTGACGGGCACTGGGGAGGTGCTGTTCCCCCCCAAAAAAAAACCCTCGGGGTTCCTCCTCCTTTCCCCCCCAAAAACCCGGCCCAACCCCGGGGTTCTCAACCCCCGCCCCCCCCTCCCCGTTAGGACTGTGTGGTGTCTTTTTAGAGCATTAGCGACTCTTCCTTTGTACCGTGTACAGTAGATTATTTATTTTGTTATTTTGGAATAAAACTTTATTTTATGGCTTATCTTCCTAACCCCTGCTCCAGCCTGGAGGGAGGGGCGGGGGAAACAGCTCAAAACCCCAAAGCAAGCGGGGGTGCAGGGGGGCCGTGTCCCTTTCCATGGGGGTCTCGGTGTCCCCCTCCCACCCCCTCCCGCCGGGGGCACCGGGCTGGCACCTCCGCCCCGGCGCCGTTCGCGCTGCCGCCTCCCGCCCCCGCGGTGACTCATCCCGGCGGCGTGGGCTGGGGGCACCGCGTGCGGCTGCCGGTGCTCCCCACGCAGGACGGGGCCCCTGCGCCTGCACCCCTTCACCCGCGGACCCCCGGCAGCGGCGGGGGCGGGCAGCAATGCACGGAGGTGGGGGGGACGAGGGTTACCCCAAATTCCCCCAACCCCGCTTTTCCCAGCTGGAGTTTCCACTCCTGCAAGGAGTAGTATCGAGTCCATGAACCCAGGCAAGGCTGGGAGAGATTTGGGGGGGGGTCCCCAGTCCGATGCTCACCCCCCCCAGGAGCCCCCTCACGCGTGTCCTGGCCGGATGCTGTCATCCCACCGCGCGTCCCCCAGCCCCCAGGAGGACAGGCTGGAATTGGGGTACCCGCTGTGCTGCGGGTGGGGCGCGAAGGGGGGCAACAGGGGCACCTCCAGGAGCTGCTCCAACTCCGAGGCTGACGGCTGCTCCATGCTGGGCGACATCCTGGGGACAGAAGCAGCAGGGTGAGCGAGGGTGGGCTGGGAGGGGCTTCCCCCCGCTGACCCCTCCCCGTGCTTACCACCGCGGAGGGCTCTGCAGCGACGCATCCTCCACCGGCTGGAACGGGGGCAGCTCGGGCATCTCCGCGTCCTGCGGCTCCACGGAGGGACCCGCGGGCAGCAGCTGCGAGACCTCCCCAGGCATGAACTGGTTGGGCATGAAGGGTCTGGGGTGGCAAAGAACGGTGTAGACCCTGTCCCACAGGGCACTCCCCGGCCCCAAGGCATTGGGGGGGGCACTGCTCGGTTTGTGGGGGGCTGGTGTGGAGCTCCTCCTGGGAGCACCGGTCAGCTGGGGATGGCCACTCCAGGCATTGGGAAGGGGGTTTGGGGGGGTGGAAAGGGGTGCAGGGCAGGGTGCCCCCCTTCCACCTGTGTGCCAGGTCTTACCCGGGGGACCTGAAGGCAGGGTCCTGGCAGTGGGACAGCGATGGAGGCGAGAGCATCGGTGATGGGCTGTGGGGAGCAGGAGCACTCAGAGAGGGGGCAACACCCCTGACCCTGCTGGGGGTGGAAGGGTGTCCAGCCCGCCCCCCACCCTGCCCTGCTCCTACCTGTGGAAGGGGGAGGTGAGCCTGTCGGGGACCATCATGATGCTGCTCTCAACCGTGGGGTAGCCCGTGGGCATGGGCTGGGGGCAGAATGGAGTGGGGGGGCTGCAGTGCACACACACAGAGGTTCAGATTGGGGGGGGGGCTCTGCCACAGCCCCCACCCCACACCCCACAGCAGGGCACTCACCAGATGGGAGCCAGCAGTGGCTGCAGATTCTCAGGGTGCAGCTCGTGCTGCAGCATGGGCAGGTTGAACATGGGCGCCTGGGGGGCCTCGTGGGGGGCCCCCATGGTGCTTGGAGGCTGCTGGTCCCTGCAAAAGCACACGGACCCCATCAGCACTGTCAGGTCCAGGCTCTGAAGGGCCACATGTGCCAGCGGGTGCTCGGGGGAAGGCTGGGAGGTGCACAGACGTGCCCCAGTGTAGCCTGGGGGCCCACGGGGGGTTCTTCGCTTACCAGCACAGCTCTGCTTTTCCCAGTCAGGGATTTCCCTGCCCAGAGGGATGCTCAGGCCAGCCAGGGGTCTGTGCAAACTCTGGCCCATGTGCACACGCCTCCAGCACAAATATGGCCTCGCACCCACCTTTCACTTTCCACAGTCATCTTGATGGCAGTGGAGACGTAGCCCCGGCCGTCCTTGCCTGTCTGCTCTTCTGCTCAGGGAGGAGAAACATCTGTGAGCCACCACCCCCACCATGCCCTGCCAACCACCTCAGCCAGCCCCAGCTGTCCCTGCAAGCCTTGGGGACACCTGGGTGAGACCCATGACCGCCCCTGCAGCATTGCTGGGATGCAGAGGGGCAGCGCAGGGCCCATCTCAGCCTTCCCCACTCACTGTTATAGTGACTCCCAAAGGCCTGGTCCTTGGGGATGTTGGGGTACAGGTTACGGAGCTGCCCCAGGTCCCGGATGCGGTCGCCGAGGGAGCGGATGGACAGGTCCTTAGCAGAGAAGGGCTGGATGTTTTCCACCTGGCTGGAGCCTGAGCGAGGGGAGACACATCACTGCATTCCAGTGCTGGTTCCCATCAGTGCCCAAACCCCCTGGCAGTGAGGATCCCCCCCTGCACAGCACCTGACCCTGCTCACCGTCCTTGCCCCGCATGACGTAAGCGATGGTGACGCCCCCGATCTCGGAGTCGCTGAAGCGGAGCAGGAACGTCCCGTCCGGCTGCATGCTCAGCAGCTTGCACACGTACTGCTTGCTGATGAAGCCCATGATGAGCCTGGAGAGGTGGACGGGTGAGGAACAGGGATCAGGACCACCCAGGGCAGTGGGGTGGGACCAGGACCCCCAAAGCCCAGCCCCAGGGCACCCACCTGTCTGACCAGTAACTTTTGAGGCATCTCTTGGTGAGGTCCAGGACTCCATCAAACCACTGCCAGAAGGTGAATCCCCGGCCAGGGAGGATCTCCTGAGGCAGACAGAGGCCATGAGACTCCCCGTGGCCATGCTGGCGCCTGTCCACCCTGGCCAGCCCTCCCAGTCACCTTGTTGAACTGGGCCCAGGAGACGTGGCGGCTCTGGAAGTCCTCGGGGCTGGCGCTGTGGTCATTGAAGATCTTCTGGGCCAGGAAGAAGTAGTGCTCCTTGAGGAGCCCCTTGGTGGTCTGCACCTCTGCCATGAACTTCAGGTTCAGGGTGTCGCACATCTTGTCCCAGGGCACACGCTCGGCCACCACAAAGGGCACCCGGTCCTGTGGCCAGGCAGGGGATCATCAGGCCAGGACACCCACTATGTGCCACCCAGGGGCTCCTGCTCCCACCTGCACTGCTCCCCCCATTCCAGAGCCAGGCAGCCCCAGGTTCCAGCTCCTTCCCTCCAGCCCGTGGCACTCACAATGTCGGAGAAGGCGTTATCCCACAGCACGGTGGCTTTGGCGTTGTTGTCCTGGTTCCCGTGGACAATGACCACAATGGGCAGAGACAGGACCTGGGGGCAGAGAGTGGCCCTGAGCCAGGTGTGGTGGCTGCCCTGGGACTGCCCCAGTGCAGCACACATGTCCCCCAGGGAAGGCTCAGCCCCATCTCATGGTACCTGGAGGTGGATGGAGACGTTGCTGGGGGTCAAGGTGACGCTGGTGCTGAACAGGACGGCGCATTTCTCCTCCGTCACCGACTCGGAGCCCTTCCGCTCGCAGCGCTTGATCTTCTTCAACAGCTGGGGAGGGAGAGCTGAGCATCCCCAGCCTCGGGACCTCCAAAAACCCAGTGCAGCCCCCAGCCCAGCCCCTTGCTGGTGGCACTCACCACGTTTTTGAAGTTGGCGCAGCAGTTCCCGCTGGTGGGGTTGGTCTCCAGGGCCACCGTGTTGTGCAAGATCTCCCCCGTGCTCTCGCTGGGCAGAGGAGGGGGTCAGGGGGGAAACGGCGCTGGGGAAGCCCCCGTTGCCCCACACCCACTGCTCACCTGAGGGTGTTGCTGTAGTTGCTGAGCTCCAGCTCCCTTGCCTGCTTCTCTGTCACCATGTCAGCCCTCACCATGTAGGGCTTGGGTGCTGCCTTCAGCAGCCGTGGGCCCAGCAGGAACCGGACGCTTGCCTGGAATTTGGTCTGGGTCTTCAGCACTTGTGGGGGCTGCTTCTCCACCAGGAAAGAGCTGAGGTACAAAGGGCCACCACAGCACTTGGCACAGTGCCCTGCCAGCCCTGCCACCAGCCCCTGCAGGCCCATTTCAACCCCTGGCCACCACAGCCCCCAGCTCGTTACCTCTTGACCAGGCCGGACAAGACCTCGTTGAAGCGCTCCACGAGCCGGGCCAGCAGCTCAGGCCCCAGCTCTGTGCTTGCTGCCATCACCTGCTGCTGAAGCTGGAAGTAAACCTCGACCAGGTTCTCGCACCTGGGGAAAGGGGGACCCTCAGCAGCCCACCCTCACTCACCCAGAGCCCTTTGGGCCAGTGGAGGGAGCAGGAGGTTGCTCAGGGTCTCCCAGCCCTGCCCTGTGCCCTCTCACCTCTTCTGCAGCGGTGACAGATTCTCCTCAAAGATGGCCCCATTCCCTGCCAGCTGCTGCTGTCTCTTCCAAATCTGGATCCTCTTCAGGACCTGTTGTTTGGCCACCTCCAGCTCCTTCACAGCCTCCAGGATGAGGGTGGGCAGTTCCCTGGGGGCCACGGGGCTCTGCACAGCCCCGTCCCGCCCTGAGCCCTCCTCCAGGAGCGCCTGGATCTCACGGACTCGGTGCTGCAGCCGCTGCAGCCCCAGGCTGAACTTCAACTCCTCCTGCCGCCGGTGGAAGCTGAGGGGCAGGTGGTGGTCCTGGGGCAGAGCAGAGCGGGGTCAGCGGGGGCTGTGGGGGGGTCCTGCACCTCAGGGTGCCCAGGAGGGGGGCAGGGAGCACCCACCCGTTTGAGCACGGCCGCCTTCTCGCCCTCCAGGACGGCTCTCACGACGGCCACCAGCCGCAGCGGGTCCCGGCGGAAGGTGTTCTGGGGGGACACAAACGGGGGGTGTCAGGGGGGACAGGACACGTGCCCCCTGTTCCTGGCCCCCTCCCACCCCAGCTCCTTCCCACAACCACTGGCCAAGGCAATTCAGGGGTTCCACAACCATTGCAGAGCCTATTTCCAGCTTTAAAAGCGCTTTAAATGGTGCATTGAATCATGGAACATCTGGAGCTGGAGGGAACATCAGGATGACCGGCCCCAACTCCAGTTTTTGGAATAAAAAGTAGAAGAATCAACATCAAATTGGGAAAAAAAAAAATCCGAACTGAAAAGGAATTCTCCATTCCTGTGAGCATTTCCTCCAGCCTGCAGCCTGACACCTGGGGGAGACTCTCCCAGCTGCCCTGGGTGGATCAATGCTTTCCACTGAAAACAGGGCGAGGAATTCCCCTGCTGGCTCTGCCTCCCGTGTCCCGTGCCAGCTCCTCCGGCCTTCACGCATTTCCCAAATTAGCTACTTCCCAAAACAGCAGCAGAAACACGATGGGGGAATGGCTGATGACGTGCTTGGTGGGTTCCTGTGCCGGTGGGAGCTCCACTGCGGGGGTCTGGATGCAACACTGGTAGCCCCGTGGGCTCTTCCAGGGGAAATGTGGGATCCAGGAGATGAGAGGCTCAGATTTGGCTCCCACCTGCATCCCCAGCCCTGTGGTTGCCCATCCTGGGGGCCACCTAGCCACAGCAGCACCAAGAGCAGGGAACAGCCTGGCCAGGCATGGAGAAATGAGGATTTGGTGTTCTGGGATGAGGGATGGAGGGAGGAGGGAACACAGGAGGGCTGTTCTGCGTCAACGTTTTAAATAATAAAAAATCCCTAAGCTGAAACATCTGCTTGTTTCCTACAGCAAAAAGCAACGGTCTTGTTTTGAAAAGTCACCCTGCTCGCTCCCCAGAAATTGTTATTAAAGCTGATCCTTTTCCAAATGCTGGATACTAAAAAAGTTTGCTACCAAAAAAAGCAGAATTTTCAACCAGAATGGGGCTCTGGGAGTGAGCCCTGCTCAGCCATGGCACTCTGAGCTCCACTGGCCAGAGGGGATAAATCAGAGGGTTGTGAAAGGGACAGAGCAATTCCAACAGCCTTGATAAGAAAAAGAGCCCCAAAAATGAAACCCAGAGCTCACGGCAGGAGGAAACACAGACCCACACGGCTTGGAGGAAGGAGAAATCAAACACTCGAGCAGAAAATGGGGAACATCTGCTGAGACAGCCCCCAGGTGCCAACAATTGGGGGTGAGTGGGGCTGTGGGGCTCAGCAGAGGCCCCACAGGATTGTTTCAGGGAAGATGTGGCAGCTGCCTGTGGGCCACTGGGCTGCAGAACCTGGGACAGCCCTGGGATGCAAACAACCCCCCTCTGTCCTTTGGAAGACCCCAAAAACTCAATTGCTGAGTCCTCTCATCACGCACAAGCCTGGAAAAGGGTGGCACACAGGGACTGTCCTTAGGCATTGAGCCCTTCCAGCATAAAATAATCAAGTTTTCCTGGGAGCTGGCTGCAATCCCAGCGTGATCCAGCCCCAGGGGCCCTCCACACCTCGATGTTGCTGACTTGCTGCAGGATCTGGCACTGCTGCCCATCGCTGCCGGCAGCACTGCGGAGTTTCTCCAGCATGTCCGAGAGCATCCTGCTGGCCACGCCGCTGCAGAAGGCGTCTGAGCCATTGATGAACTCCCTGGAGAGGGGAAAAGTTGGGAGAATGGGCATGGATCCCCCACCCTCCACTATGTGACCTCCAGCCCCATGCTGCTCCAGGGAGGAAGGGTCCCGGGAGACTCACCAGGGCTGGTCCTCCAGCCACTCGGCCAGGAGACAGCGCAGGCTCCGGGGAAACTCCGTGTAGAGGCTGCTGAGCTCCTCTGGTGGCATGTGGGACACGAGGTTCCAGAGGGACATCTTGGAACAGTCACCTGCAAGACAGGAGAGGGGATGGGGGCAGGGCCACTCGAGCAGCCCCCAGCCCAGCCCTGGTGGGGTCGAGGGCTGAGAGCCCCTCAGGAAGGGGGCGAGAGCTGCTGCTTGTCCCTCCACGTCTGAACCTGACGCTCCACTGGGCTGGAGCTGCTGGGGAGGAGGAGGAGGAGGAGGAGTGGGAAGCTTGATCCATGATCAGCCTCTTGGGCAATCCTGGGCGGGCTGGCGGCCCATTTGTGCCTCAGTTTCCCGCATCTCCGGGGATTCCCTGCTCCTTCTGCCACAAGGACATTGAAAGGGATGGGCATAGGAGAGCCGGGAGAGCCAGAAGAGCGCGGAACTCCGGGGAGCGGGAGAAGTGTGAGCTCCCCCAAACCTGGTGAGGCCGTTCCACTGGGATAACCCCAGCGAAGTGGCTTGGCTGCCCCCCAAAACTTCCTCAGGTGTCCCCCTCAAGGAGGGATCCTTCCCCAGCCGCCCCTCACCCTCGGTGGGCTCCAGAGACCAGGAAAAGCAAGAAGAGCACTGCAACGAGTCGCTACATAGGGAATTCCACCCGGAATGCCCCAGCTGCAGGCTCACGGCCCCACCGCACCCCGAGGTGGGCGTTGGCAGCCCAACACCGCCAGCCCGTGCCCTCAGCACCGCCCGCGCCTCTCCCGCCGCGCTCGCCCCCTCGGGCCCGGCCGGGGTGGCGGGGGGCCCGTCCCCACCTCGCTGCCGGTTCCGCCGGCCCCGCCCGCGGCCGAGGCCCGATCCCGCGGCGGATCCCGGCCCAGACGAGGGGCCGGGCGGCGGCGGCTGCCCCGGCCCGCCCCGAGCCCCGAGCCCCGAGCCCCGAGCCCCGGCCCGCTCCGAGCCCCGCGGGCAGCGCGCTCCCCACGGGCCTGGGCCTGCGGAGCCGCCGGAGGCGCAGGGCGGAGGTGGGGCCGAGGCTCGGAGGGAGAGCCCAGCGAGGGGAAGGAAGCCGGCGTCACTGGGCAACGCCGCAGCCGGAGCAAACAAACGCCCGCGGCCTGCCCCGAGCTGCTGCAGCGGGAGCAGCCCGGCCCGCACGGAGCGCCCGTGTGGCACCCCAGGAAGGGATCGACCGTGCTGGCTGGACGCTGGCGCCTTCCAGAATTGCTTTTGCTTTCGACGCCACGCTGCCCGGGGCGAACGGATCCCGAGGATTCGCTGCAGGGGATGAGGTTGCTCCGAGGGGTCAATGCCCAGTGGGAAACGCACGCAGCAATTCTGGGAATGCTGCTGGGTTTTTCCCCACAATCCCAGCGGGATTCTTGGCAGGAGGGGAAAAACAACCTCTCCTTCTGCCACTCTCGAGGTTAATCCTCATCCTGCTGCCCCATTAAACCTGTATTTCTGCTCAGCCCTGGGAGGCAGCTGCTGGCTGGAAGCGCCAACCTGCAGCGTAAGCCTTAAGCCAGGCATGCCTGGATCTGCTGAGAGGCTGCGGGAGAAGCTGCTCCGCTCCTTCCTCCCACAGCTCAGGAGGAGCTTGAGGCAGGGGAACCTGCCTGTCCCCTCCTGGCATCAGTCACAGCAGTTCCATCAGCCCAGCCGTGCCCTGAATCCTTCCCATTCTAATTTCCACACTTTTCCCTATTCTCCTTCTGCAGAAGAACTTTTCCCAGTTCCCTCCTAGGGACAACATCCCATGGGGACCCTCCTCCAGGTCACCCCGGGAAGCCGAGGTCGCAGTTGTGTTGTGGTTGGGGAAACCGGCTCGACACGGGGCAGGACCAGCCGCCCCCCACCCGCTCCCCCTCCCCAAAATCCCTCCACACAGCCACTTTCACTTCCTCCTCCACCCAAAGGGCTTTGCCTACCCGTGGGGCTGGGGGACTCTGGGGTGAGAAGGTGGCTCAGGAGGAGCCCAGGCACGGAGAGGGGGCTCAGGGACCCCCACAGTCTCAATACGGTTTTTGTGCTCTCACTGCAACAGGAAACCCTGTTCCGAGGCCGGAGCCGCCGTACGCTCCCCGTCTCCTTCCTTGTCCTGAGGTGCCGCCGTACATCCCACGGATGTTACTCATTAACCACCGGGCCTTGCTGGCAGCCAGCCGCAGCCCCCCACCCTCGGGTGGGCTGTGTCGAGGGGACGGGGACAGATCGCACCCCTGGCCATGTCCCCGCTGCCCTCTGCGATCTCCCAGCCTGGTGCAGGCGGGTCCCTCCGCACCCTCCTCACCCTGCGGGGCACCTCAGAGCACGCTCCCTTATCCTGCCCGCAGATTCCTCGGGGCTTTCTCGCCGACACATACTCCGAGGTTTTCCAAATGCTGTGAACACCCGGACTTCTCTCTGACTGCCCTCACCGAGGAACGTTTCTGCACCTCAGCATGCCTCAGTTTCCCCGGGGTGCTGAGAACACCACTGCTGCCGGCGGAGGCAGAGGTCAGAACACAGGACACGGTGGGACACTGGTGACAGTGCCACGAGGAGGACACCCACGTGTTGGGGAGCAGCCCACTGCTGACCGCTCAGGGCACGAAAGTTCCTCTGGTTCACAGGAAGAGGAGCGGGGCCTTCCCAGCCGACCCAGCCCAAGATGACTCACGGCTTGGGGAGCCCGGCTTGGATTCGGTGCCGCTCCCGTCTCAGGAACTCCCTGTTCACGTCCACCGGCGGGATGGGGAAAGGAAAGGGTCTTCCTTTGCCCCACGCACACCCCATCCCCAAACAGCGCCCAGCCAGGAGAGCGGGGTGCCAGGAGAGCTGGGTGCCATCCTCTGCACACACCCAGCAGATGGTGCTCCGGACTTGGGGTCGAGCTGGGCTGCGTTTCCACCTGGGCGGCCGATGCAGCCTCGGCACCGGTCACCGGAGCCCCCTTCCCCATCCCCTCCCATCCCCAAACACCCCAGTGAGGGGCTGGCAGTCACTCCGCTCCCCCTCGGAGACCTCGTTCATCCTGTCACACGTCGCACTGCCCACCCCCGGAGCAGGGAGGTGCCGCCGGACAGCCCCCCCAGTCCCGGGCAGCCCCCGCCCCTGGGATACCGCAGAGCCCCGTCTCCCTCCGGCTGCCATCTCGGCGCCCCTGCACGAGTTCCGGGCCGGGCCGGGAGGTGCCAAGCAGCGGCAGAGTCCCCGGTCCCCGGTCCGGCGTTACCTGGCGAGAGCAGCCGCGGGCGGGGGGCGGCCGGTCCGGCCGGGCCCCGCAGCCTCTCGTTCACTCCATAGCGGCGGCGGGCGCGGTCGGTCCCCGCGGCGGCCCCGCTCCGCCGGGAAGCGCCGAGGGCAGGAAGGGGGAGGAGACGCGCGAGCGGAGGGATGGGAGGGCACCGGGACCGGGACCAGCCTCGGCAGGACCTGGGATCCCCGGACGTCCCCACCGAGGGGCTGCGGCACCCGCCGGCTCCGCGTCCGTGCCATGTCAGCCCCCACCCAGTCGTGACCCCACTCTCGCCCTGTATCTCTCCATTCCTGTCCCCGATCATGACCACACTCTTATCCTGTATTCCACTCGTGACCACACATCTGCCCCATTCAGCCCTCACAAACCCACGCGTGTCCCCCCGCCCCATCTGTGACACTCATTCCTGACCCTACTCCTGCTCTAATCAGGTCCCTCTTTGCTGCCCTTCCAAGCCCCCCGCCCATCCCCGTGGGTGCCCCCCGCCCATTCCCGCGGGTGCTCTCGCACCGAGGCACTCCCGGTTCCGTGGCACCGCTATTCCCTTGTGCACCGGGCCGGGCCGTCGGTCCCGAGCTGCGCCTTCCCCGCACTGTTGGAAACCCGGTCCCCGTCGTGGCATTCGAGCCCGTGGCCGGTCCCGGGCTGTGCCCGCCTCTGCCAGCGCCCTCCGGAACCGAACAGAACACGGGAGCGGGGGCACTGAAACGGGGTGCTCGTTGCTTGAGGGGCCTTGGTGCTTCACGGGGGTACCCGCGCCGCCCCGGGGCGCTCCGACCCCCGCGCCCACCGGAGCGGCGGGGCAGAACGGGGGCACGGCTCCCCCGGGGCCGCCAGGGGGCGCTGCCGCACCGCGGTGCCGCCGGGGCGCACCGAGGGCCGCGGGGCCGGTGCTGCCGGGGCTGGGGATGCGGTACCGGGGCTGGGGCAGGGCCGCGGGGTGCCCGCGTTCCCCCCGGCTCCTCCCGCTTGGCGCCAGTGAACTCTCCGTGCTGCCATTTCCAGCATTAAACGCGCCCGGGGCCCCCCGTGAGCGCGGCTCCGTCCACTGTGCACCGGGACATCCCGGGAGAGCGGACACCCGCCGGGGCTGCTCGGGACTGGGAAGGGGCTTCCCGGCCTCCCCACGCCCCCGTCCAGGACGGTGTCGAGTGGGGAGGGGGCTTTGGAGCGCTGGCCGGGACCCGCGTGGGAGGAATCAGAATCGCCCCCGCTCCCCGGGTCCTGCGCGACGTTTGGGGGCTCTGCGGGAATGGGGGGTACACAGCTGGCCCCCACAACCCCTCCAGCCCAGCGGATTGCGCTGCGCTTTTTGCCACCCCGGCGCTTCTGCAGGGGAGGCGTCCCGGGAACATCTGGACCTTCTCCCGAACATCTGGCGCCGCAGCAGCCTGAATCACCCTGCCCCCCCCGCAGCTGCCTGTCCGGGGTGGGGCGGAGCAGGCGTGTGACATAATTAAAGAAAACATATGACATCACGCGGAGGGGTCGCATGGTGCCCGATGACGGCGCCGGCACCGCTGCCCATCTCCCTCCTCGGCCCCGGGCCCTGGCAGGCAGCGGAGTGGCCAGTGGATGACGTCACGGCTCTGGCTCTGACGTCACTGTTCTCAGTCAAAGCTGGAGTTGGGTGAGTGATGGAGTTGGCCTTGTGGATGGTGGGACCCCCATGATGGGGCTGTTCCAGCCCCCCGATCCTGAGTTCTGCTTCTGTAGCCCCTGCAGGGGCGACTGGGGGACAGTGAGGGTCCTGTGCCCTGGGGGGTGACAAGGGACCCCTTGCCTTGGGGGGACAGTGAGGGTCCTGCGGGGTGATGAGCGACCCCTTGCCTTGGGACAGTGAGGGTCCTGGGGGGTGACACAGGACCCCTTGCCTCGTGGGGACAGTGAGGGTCCTGGGGGGTGACACAGGACCCCTTGCTTTGTGTGGACAGTGAGGGTCCTGGGGGGTGACACAGGACCCCTTGCTTTGTGTGGACAGTGAGGGTCCTGGGGTTGACAAGAGACCCCTTGCCTTGAGGGGGCAGTGAGGGTCCTGGGGGGTGACAAGGGACCCCTTGCCTTGTGGGGACAGTGAGGGTCCTGGGGGGTGACACAGGACCCCTTGCCTTGTGGGGACAGTGAGGGTCCTGGGGGGTGACAAGGGACCCCTTGCCTTGGGGGGACAGTGAGGGTCCCATTCCCCTCGGACATAGCGAGGGTCCTGTGCCCTGGGGGAGCAGTCAGGGTCCCACCGCCCTTGGGGTGGTGATGGTTTTGCTGTCCTGGGAGAATGGCGAGGCTCCTGTTGCCTTTAGCGATGGTGAAGGGCCAGTCCTGGGGGACAGCGAAGGTCCTGCAGCCCCGAGAGGACACCGAGGGTCCCGCTGTCCCTGCGGGTGATGGGTCCTGCTGCCTCGTCCGTCTCTGACCCGCGGCCGGTACCGGGTGTCGGTAGAGGGGAGCTGGACCTCCCCCGCACCTGGGGACCACCACAGCAGGGACAGGCCGGGCGCTGGAGCGGCATCACGGGCCGGTACCGCGTGTGGGCGCGGGACCGGCAGCGCTGTACCTGTGCCACACCGGTCCTGGCCCCGGCCCCCTGCTCGTACCATACTGACACCGATACCGACACCGACACCGGCACCGGACCCCTCCCGGACCATACTGACACTGATACCGACACCGATACCGGCACCGGTCTCCTGCTCGTACCATAATGACACCGATACCGACACCGGCACCGGAGCCCTCCCGTACCAAACTGACACTGATACCGGCACCGGACCCCTGCCCAGACCATACTGACACTGATACCGACACCGATACCGGCACCGGACATCTGCCCGGACCATACTGACACCGACACCGGTACGGGACCACAGCCCGTACCATACTGACACCGACACCAGAACCAGACCCCTGTCCAGACCATACCGAGACCGATACCGGTACCGACCCGGGACCCCTGTCCCTACCCGCACCCACCGGGGGGCGCAGCCCCGGCACCGCACGCGCATGCGCGTAAGGACCCCCCCC